TTAACTTGAAGCATGCAAAAAAAAAATAATATAAAAAAATAATATATATATATATATATATATATATATCTCTTCAGTTTTCCTCAGCAGTGATGTACCTCAACACACCTGCATTAGAAGGAACTTGAAAGTAGGAACAAAAGTGGAATTGACCTGACCAATTTTAGTGTTCCAACCTACGTGAAGGGCAGAAAGTGACAGGTAAAGACACTAATAAAAAAAAAAAAGGGGGGTGGGGGAGATATTTGGATGCTCCCATTAACAATTTTCATCACAATTTTGGAGTTCACTTTGCCATAAAACAAAGGATCCACAACACTGTAGTTGAATCACAAAACTCCTTTCACTACTGCTAGCCATTAACATCATTTGAGAACATCAACCACGTAGGAAGCTGAAGATCAAATAAGCAATTATATAAACCTTCACCTGTAGCATTGTCTAAATCTTCTTAGAGCAAAGTTCAGTTAACCACACTTGTCTATGGTTGTGTAGCTCAGGTGCTGAATATAAGTTCTGTATGCTATCTTGGGACTGGGCGTTTGCCCACCGCTGACAGCTATTTTTCCCCAGATTGGCAGAGTTGGCCTGGCTGCCTGAAGCTAGTGATGAATGGTGACATAGTCATTTCATTCTGTTTTAAAATGTGTTTCCCGCTTATGCTGCCTTTACACAGCTCAGTCTGAGACCAGCACACAAGTGCCAAAATAAGGGGCAATTTTCAGCCCATCCAGAGGCAGGAGTATCATGTCACTAGAAATTGTAAATAGGCATGTGCATTGCTCAATTAGTTTCCTCTGCCCATGTTATTTCTATAAGCCCAGGGCAGAGACCCCAAAACATAAAAGGATGTAGATCAGGACTTGGATCTGAATTTATGGGCTTTCTTCTATCACTGTTAGTGAAATGAATGAAAATCTGGACCCAACATATATCTAAAGTTTGCGGCTCTTGGAGGGAGGGGAGATATGTGGAGTTTGAAGGATTGCATTAACTCTTGTAATTTTCCCATACAGGAGGGGAACTGAATTACCCTGGGTTAATAATAAGGCTATCCATTTTTTAAAAATGCCTTGGTTCACTATTTGACCCCCGACTAACAGTGAGCGCTGCAGGCTTTGCTACATGAAAGCAGATTGCCTCATTTGGTTGTTCTAAACAGAGCATGTCAAAAGCTGATAAGTATGTTTTGTGAAAAAAATTCCAACCGTTTTCATTTAAAAAAAAGTTTGCAATTTTTTGGATGTTTTTCCCAGTGAAAAACAGAACCGTTTTTTGTTTGTTTGTTGTCAACTTTAAACTTTGGTTGAAAAATCACAGAATGTAATAGAAAATGTTGATCAGCTCTAGTTGTAAATCTGTGCTGTGCACTTAATTCGTTGGCTTCATTCTCAAAATTATGGGATTAGGAACAAGGAATTGGGCCTTGTGTGTACCATTCCCCGATCTACCACTGACTCACTAGGTCACTTTCCTTGTTTTTGTGCTAATTTTCTACATCTATAAACTAGGTAATTAAAAGCCTCAGCAGCCCTTGTCATAATCTTCAAAGTGCATTTCACTTATTATGGAGAATAGTTTGTAGAGAGTTATTTATAAGTGACCTGATGCCTGTCTTGAGGAGCTTACACTTGAAATCAGACACACAAATATCCCTTCATGCATCCCATGGTGAAGGGACTGCAGATTTGCCAACTCTTGTGATTTTTATTGTTAATCTCATGCTATTGATAGTTTTTTTTTTTTTTAATTTCATAAAGTCTTAGCTACTGGAGTCATGTGATAAGAACCTCCGCTTTCATTTTTTTAAAGTACATTTCTATCCCTCATAGCAGTGGTTCTCAACCATTCCAGACTACTGTACCCCTCTCAGGAATCTGATTTGTCTTGCATACCTCAAGCTTCACCTCACTTAAAAACTACTTGCTTACAAAATCAGACATAAAAATACAAAAGTGTCACAGCACACTATTACTGAAAAATTGCGGACTTTCTAATTTTTACCATATAATTACAAAATATATTCGATTAGAATATAAATATTGTACTTTTCACTTGTGAGCCTTGTCTGAAGCCCAAGCCCCAGGTGGTGGGGCTGAAGCTTGTAATTTAGCTTTGCAGGGGCCCCCTGTGATGTTGGGGCCCTGCCTGCTATCCCATAATGCCAGCCGTACACTTACAATCCCTCTAAACCCGTCCTGTGACTCCCCTGGGGGCTGCAACCCAGAGGTGGAGAAACACAGATCTAGATGAGTTGAGTACCCCTGGAAGACCTCTGTGTACCCCTGGTGGAGAACCACTGCCTCATGGTGTGGAGAAAAGCTTGAAAACATGAGCTGAGTGCCTCCTAAAGGCTCAAAAACAGAAGGCAAAAAATCTAGCTTTAAAAAAATCATGAATCTCATGATATTTGGTGGCCTGACCCATCATTTTTGAATGCTTGGGATTAGCAGTACTGGGACTGTGTTAGTAAGAGAGCACAGGTGCAGGCTTTGGAAAATTGCTACTTGGGGTAATGGATACTAAGAGATTTCAAGGGGGCAGAGAGAGGATGGGGTGGAGCGGGAAGCATGAGAGGGCACCATCCCTTACTCTTGGCCAAAAGTGCAGTAAAAGCAAGAGAAGACAGCAGAACAGAGGGAATGAGGGGAGCGCAGTAGGAAGTGAGAGCAGAGAGACAGGCACAAGGAAAGAGTGAAGGTGAGGAGTTGAAGGTAACAGGCAGGGTGAGTAGGGAATAGGATAAAATGCAGGAGGCGTCCTAGTGGTGAGAGAGGATAACTGGAGTAGCTGTGTTTTGGAAGGGCAAACTAGTAATACAAAAGCTCATCATAGATATTAGGGTTGAAAGGGACCTCAGGAGATCATCTAGTTCAACCCCCGCTGCCAGTGAAAAGTGCTATATAAGAGCCCGATGATGATATTTGTAGCTCTGCCTTGTGCTGTTAATAGCACCTCCCTTCTCCCAGGAACAGCCTTTTGTGTGCACAAATGACAAGACGCTTTCCCCAGCAGGCAGCCCCTTAGCGGTGGTCTGGGGGCGCTTCTGCCGGAGAGCTTCTCATTGTAACACACACAGCAGGGAGGGAGGGTAAACTCCCCCCAGCCAGAGCTCCTGCCTCCCACAGCGCCTGGCCCGCCGGCTGGTCGCTCGTGAGCGCCCTCAGCAGGGCACCGGCTGGGACTCCCTCTAGGACCCGGGGGAAGCTGATCCCGGGCAGTGGCCGGAATGCAGCCCCTGCGCAACGCATGAGATGTATGAATTCTAATCCCACCTCTTGGGAACCTGGGGCATCCCGAGCAGCCGCCGCAGCCATGGAGGCGGGGTGGAGGTTTGCCCTTAGAGGCTGCGGGAGACAGAGCAAAGCCACTGCAGCTGGCCACTAGGAGCAAGGCAGCCCCTGTGCACGCTCCGCGGGCCGGCCCCCTTTGCCCCGGCCCCCCCTTGCCCCGGGAAGGAGGATGCACCGCACGCCGTGGCTTTGAGAGATTGGGCTGATTTTATGCAAGCATCAGACCTGGGCTGCGTCTGGCGGGGCGGATGCTGAGGCTGCGGCTCTCGCCCAGCTTTGGGCTGGCTCCCTTTGTGCATTGATTGACCACTGAGCAGCTCCCCACCCCACCCCCTCCAGATCCCCTACCCTAGGGAGCCTGACAGTAGCAAGTCGAGCCCAGCGGGAGGAGGGGGTCGGGGGAAAGTTGCAGCTCAGCTGCTGGTGGTGGGGAGATGCAGGCTGAGGCTGACCTGCAGGGGAGAGAGGTGGTTGCTGTGTCCAGGAGGGGCAGAGCCCCGTGGGCAGCTGCAGAATCCAGGGCCAAGTGAAGAAGTGCAACGGACAGCACCATGAAGCTGCGGCTGCACCAGGCCCTGGCGGTGCTGCTGGCCTGGGGTGAGTGCCTTTGTTGCTTTGATTTTAAAGTGATTTGTTTGCGGGAGAGCTAATGAAATCGCGGGGAGAAGCTGACCATCCCAGCAGAGTTCTGTCCGTTGCAGAAGAGTTGCTAAGTTAAATCGGCTTGGACAAAGCCCTGGGAATAGACTAGTGGGGTCGATCCTGTCTGGGGACCAGTGGGGTGGACTAAATAGGATTTCTCTATCACTAGGAAGCAAAGTCTTGGGGAATAGACCGTAGGGACCAAACTGGTTCGGGTCCCCAGCACCTGGCGAAGTAAATGGCACCTCCCCTCTTGTCCCTTCTGTTACTGTAATTATTAAATAAAACAATAACTCGCTGGGTGTGAATGTGAACATCCAGGGAGAAAAGAAACCAAAACCACTCTGATCTCCCGGTCCTTCACCTCTAACAACCTAGGTAGCTCCCCAGAAGGGAACATGACTTGTTATTAGTGAGTAACTCCCCTCTTCTGTATGTTTCCCTGGAGTTTGAGTTATGTGCTGAATATTCAATGCAGTGTGCTCTTTACTTCTGTGCAGCTTTGAGATCTTTGCTGGGCAGCTTCTTCTCTCCCTAAACCATTATTTTTAGGGATATAAGATTAAGCTCACCCTTTCAAGTCTGGATTTTGGGACCCAAGTTTGGCTTCTATTCTTTTTCCTTCATTTGATTTTATGAAGGGTGCACGTCCACTCCAGGATAGTTGTAAGAATCATTTTATTATTACTATGCAGTGTGGGGATTTTTGGGGAGGGGGGAATCATTTGCTACTTGTATGTTCTAAAAGTTTATGTCTTAGGAAGAAGAATGTGTGTCAAGGCTGCTAAAAATGTCTTTGGGCAGGGAAGGTATATGCTACAATAAGCACTTGTCCAACTGAAGTAAACAAGGTGGTGTTATTATGGAGAGGATGGAAATAGCTCTGAATGTAGCATGCTTTCTGCATGCCATTCCTTGAGCTGGGATTCCTGCATGCTGTTGTTTTCCCCAAGGGGGCTGTAGAGATGCCACTATTTTGTGCTGCACAAAAAACATCTTTATTTGTGGGCTTTTTCAGTTTACCAACTACTGTGAAGTTACCAAAATAAAAAGGAAGAGGGGACTAAATAGAAACAAGTCCACTGGCCCCAAAGATCCTAATCTTGAAATTTGGAGAAGGGGTGGGGCATTAATTAAAGCCGATTAAGCACATAAGTAATTATACTTAGACTAGTTATGAGGTCTGTGCTGCTATTTTTATATAATCTGCTTGGAGATGTTTTCAAACAAGGGGCCCCTCTCAAAGAACTCTGGGAAAGAGAGTTTTGCCTTTTAAAAGAAAATTAGTTTGAATTTTGGGGTAGTGCTGTGAAAACAGAACTTTGGAATGGAGCATTAGACGTGTAAGACTTCTTTGTCTGGGGTCATTTGATAGTAGCCAGGTTTGAAGGCATCTTATGCTGGATCTGGGAGCATCTCTCCCTGAGTGTAACGAAGGGCCAGTTTCATTAAACGGGAGCTCGTTTGCACTAGATGATGCACTGCGGGCTCAGTAATATCCCACTTCCTGATGTCAGTCAAGGGTACACCCCCAAAACAGCCGAAGGAGAGCTATCAACTGCAAGTGCTTTGGGGCAGGAACTGTCTTTTGATTCTTTGTGTGCAGGGCCTAGCACAATGAGTCCTGGACGCCTGGTTGAGGTCTCTTGGCATTACAATAACAGAAAGAATATCTTTTTTTAAATAATAAGGAGGTAAGAAGTTATAGGACAGGAAGGATCAGAGGGCCTATTTAGGGGACTAGTACCAACTCCCACCATGGTGCTGAATCATCAGTGGTGTCCCAACTGCAAATACTTGTGGTTTCTTCCTGCCCCCATAGTGGGTGGACATCCCATCACTTAATACATTTCAAACCAAGCTGCACCAGTCATATGAGAATGTGCTGTAAGGAACCTTCCTGCTCTGTGTGAAGGAAGATAGACAAGCTGCAACCTAACAGTTCTTCTGCATCTCTGATTTCTGATTCAGCTGTTTACCTCTGTGTGCTGGCACTCTGATTTGCAAATACAGCTCAGAGTGCATCGCGGAGTGAGTGTGGAGCCCTGCACCACCAGAGATTCAGCGGTATCCCTAGTACTCTTAGCATCTTAAATCAGCAGAGCTCTGATGTGGGGGTAGGGGTAAATGGGCAAATCTTTGCTGGTTGGCTGACTATGCAGCCCACCCCAGTTTATGGAGTGATACTCATGGTGGTCCAGAAGTGATTATGTACCCTTTTGTCCCCATCCCAAGTTGGTGAGATGATAGTGGGGCAAAACGGGGAAAGAGGGGCCCACCAGTGAGGTTATATGGTGGGGTGGGGAACTCAGAAACAAAATGTGGTTTAAATTATGCCACCAGAGTGTGTCTTTGTTAGGAGGAGGAGGGATCCAGTGTCTACCCCTCTTTCCACTGAGGTCATCCAACTGTTACAGGATCAGGTCTCAGCCCATCTCCTAGTGAAAAGTTCTCTACAGCATAGAAAGCCACCACAGCTGGGACCTCCCTGTTGTGCATATCTGCAGGAGACCCCAGCAGTGAATGAGGATGGAGACAATGACCTTGTCCTTGGGGGGTGAGGTGGGGAGGTCCCTGGAGTGGAGCAGTACGTATGTGGGACGGTTGCCCTGCTGCTTCCCAGGCTGTAACTGGTCTATGCATTGAAGCTGTCTTTTGGGCTTAAAGCCAGCAACTTTCACCAACACTAACTTCACAATTATTATTTTAAAGCTACGTTGGTTACACAGACAGGCCCTTGGTTGGTGGCGTTAAACGACGTCTGGGAGCTACCGGAGTTGGGCTACATCATACCAATATCAGTTGGAGACGCATAGACCGGCGAAACCTTCCAAGTTTCATTTCAACTTCTGGAAGGGCCTCTCTTTCTGCTGAGATGCAGCTTTGTAACTTTAGAGTGATCCTCCAGCTGACAGCGACAAAAAGGGGTTTGGTCCTTAGAACTCTCCCGATTGTTTCCCTCTAACAGCACCTAGATAGTATGGGGATGGGAGGAGACGCTGAGATGGGCACAACTTAGTACCAGCTGAATCCTTAGGCTAGTGAAACTGGTGTTGTGGGGGGTCAGTGGGTGAACTCATTAGCCAGCTGCCTCTGGAAATCTGGATTCTTACTTAGTGTAGAGGTCACAAGTGAAGAATGAGGAGTCTGCAGTGAGTCTACATTGCAAAACCAGCGCATAGTTTTTCATGACTGGCAGTCCCAGCTGAGGAGAGGTTCAGGTCTGGGATAACTGGGGATGATGCAGGACAGGAATGAGGTGTAGCAGGGGACTGGAATAGAACGGGAGGCTGCAGGTCAGGAACAAGGTGCATTGATGGAGCTTCAGCTTGAGACTCCAGGACTGAAATACTGTCTGCTGCAGATTGTGTTTAAGGTACACTGGCCGAGCTCTGGGACGGTGGCAGGTCAGAATTGAGGTCCACTGTCAGATCTGGCAGGTAGTCAGCATGCCATTTGCCTGAGCATTGCCTTACTCTAGCCAGTTATCTAAGACCTTTGCTTTCATGAGGTTAAGAGAAAAACATCTCCCTCCTCCTCCCCATATCACCCCAGGTGTCTGTCTGCATGTGGCTGTGTGAGTGCCAGGCTCTATTAGATAATTCTTTCCTCTGCGTCTGTCCGCTTAGACAATTCCTCGTTAGTACTGTATAAATGAACCCATGCCTAGGGAGCATAAATCAGGATGGATGAAAATTCCCTGCAGTCAATTTTTCCTTTGCCTCTTCAGTAACATAAGGAAATGTTCACTTAATTATAGGCATCAGGGGTTGAAATAATTACATGGAGCCCTCGAAGGGAAGCTCTAGGCGACAGGCTACAGATCAGAACACATAAAAGTTTTCCCTCTGCTCAGAGTGGGAAGCAGCTCTAGAGTTTTGTGGGTAAAATAAGCCAACGGTAGCAACAAAGCAGGCTAGACTGCAGAGTACAGTGTAAGGGGTGAAGGTGCACTGAGTCCTGCTGCTGGCGACCGTGTGAATTTGCTGCCAGTTCTCATTGGTTATTTAAACACGTAATCCCAAAAGAATGGAGACAAGCTATTTGTCACCCGCACGAGTGCGGCCTGGGCAGAGGCACAACGGAGGCAAAGCAAACACATGCAGCCATTTGTTTATGGGGTAGGGATGCTGGCAAGGCAGTTGTGCCCTGCTTAGCTAGGATCAGACCCGTGCTGTTCAAGTCCCTGGTTAAATCCAGTTGTTGGCAGGATTCAGGCATGGATTCCTTGGTGGGGGGAGAGAGATTGTGTGTGTGTGTGTGAGAGAGAGAGAGAGAGAGAGAGATGTTCGAGCTCTCCCTCAACATGACAATTACAACCAAGCCTGGTTACACTACTGTCTTGGTTTGCTCCTGTCAATGTTGTAGTCTAGCGTGGAACGAACAGTGTTTTAAATGATGTCCCCAAGCTATGCTGAACCCTTGAACATGTCCAGAGGTTTAGCCCAGTTAAGGAATATGGATGAGGTCCTGACTAAACTACAGCATGAAACTGTTGAAATTGGATCCTGTGGCTTGGATATAAATATAGTAGAGGGGCCCAAACCAGTGCATCATCTAACAGAAGGAAGCCTTGGAAGACCCTTTGTCACGCACGGGCTGGAACTGAATTTAACTGCTGTGTTTAAGCTTAGTTGTGGCAAAATCAGTGTAAACACCGTTTGGCTGACTGTGCTGATGGGGCCTCTAGCATAGTTTGGCTAGCGTGTTTCTTAGAAACCTGTTCCTCTGTGCTCTGGTCAGGGAGCCCTGGCTCTGCAACAGCTGTGCTGTTGGAGCCAATAATGCAACTTTGTTTGGTACACCACAGATCATATAACACTTGGAGGGGTTATGCAGTAAACTGGGAGAAAAAATAAGAGGCAAGGACAAAGAGAGATTTTTTCAGCGGATAGTGGAAATGCCCTGGAATGGTGATGGAGCAGAAGGATCTGTAGGGCTTTCCCAGACAGCGG